TGAAGTACAAACAGTATTTTCCCAAACTGTTCTTTTGTACCCAAAGTATCAGTTTTGGATGCTGTCACTGGTGAACCTCAGAAGTATGCCAGATGATCCAAACAGAATGTAGTAATCACTATTTGAGAAGGAAAGGCAAAACTGCAATTTGTCATCAAATTTACACTGCATCTTTACTGTCCAAACTGTTTTTCAACTCCTTTTTCTTGGCAAGGTCTTTTGTCCATTGAAATTTGCACAGATCCACCTACCTAGTGTTCAGATAATTTGTTGGCCCAAAAACGGTACAAATGTGTTGCAGCCGATGTTTACCTCAGGGCAATTCTGATATATATTGATTTGAGGAAATTTACCAAATTCTATTCTGTTGTACACGTACATGGTATGCTTTCATCCACTCCACCCAAAAAGCAGTCATGAGTTGTGCCGTTGGTACAGCAAGAGTGTTACAGTGACTAGCCGTACAGCCAGTCCTAAATGTGACCTGCTCTGCAAAAAGGTATATTACATCGCGCAATGCAAAAACGCATAATGGCCCATTCCATGTGCCGAGGGTGAAAATATTTGGAAATATTTTAAGGCCAATTGCTTTACCAGAAAGCCTCTTTTGCTAGGGAAAACCAAGAGAGTGTCTAATGTACGTGTAAGTTAATGTTTCTGTTCGTTATGTTTAAAGGGTATTATCTCAAAAAGCATGTGTGAAAAAATAGAATTATGTGAACATGCAAATGGCAAATAACTCCAAAATGCAAAATACTTGTGGGATGAATTATACGGTATATCAAATGAAAGCTTAGGATTTTAGCAATTTGATTATATATATAATTCAATTTCCTAAAAATGTGACATAATACACCTTTTTTGCAGAGCCGGTCACATATATCCTCATACTACTGGTAGATTAGATGTAAATTGTAGCACAGTAAAGGAAGAAAAAAGACACAGGTTCATGACATACATGTAAGTGTACATGTCCATGTACATACATGTATAAATAATCTAAATCTGGAATAAAGCAGGTGAAAATACCATTTGTACATGTCTTACCACGATGGAATGCATGGTTACATGTACCTTTCTTGAGGGTAAACAACAACTGCATGGACTTCCATGAGTGCTTCAAGGGTGGCTCCTTTTTCTTCTCATATCTTTGTGGGCCTATTCCTGCACCAAACCTAAGTGTACATGTAAACCGCCCGACATGGAAAATGTGAGTTTGTGATAAAGAGTCACTCAAAGTTACATTGTACCGGTATTTGTAAGGGTACCATTTTGCACCGCTTCTGTTAAGGCCCTCATGAACACCTGCAGCTACATGTACAATGTACAGTATAATTCAGATTCTAAGGCATGCAAGTATGGCACTGAATCCACTATTTTTATTTTGAGACTTCCTTTGAGCGTTGACATTTCAAATATTTCATTTTGTTAATCAGTTTAAATGAATCAATTGCATTTGCAGATGCACATGCATATAGTGTACATGTGACTTGTGATTGCTAAATTTTCATGTCAGTAAAATCAAGAACAGAATAGGAAAACTCCATGGATTATGATAAAGAGCAGGGAAAATTCATTGAAAAAAAGTTCATCGTGTTACAATTTGAAATGTATGGGAATTCAGCAAACATGTCCATCAAGCGTACATGTATTCAACTCCTGGTATTACAGACTACCGTACATATGTACATACATCGTAGCACTGATATCAGCAAGATGCTGTCTGGCTACCGGCAGCGATCCATTAGAAATTTGTGAGGCAGAGTCTGCAGACAGCAGACGCTACCTTTCAGGGATTTTTTTTTCTTTCTCTCAATGAGGCGGCATGGTGCTTTTTTGACGAACAGATGTTTTTGATAGCTGACCAGAGTGTGACGAATTATTGCAAAATACAGGTGGATTGAAAACCAATCTTATGTACATGCAAATTCAACCGCTGGATTTTGCTTTTGTGTATTTATTTCTAAACCTCAGCCAGACCTGGGATAGGTTGACAGGTGCACAGGCAATCTTTCTGTCTTTCAGTTAAAGTAAATATTTGAGTTAGCAATCAAAAATGTAAATAAGTATATACTGGTATTTTTTTTTAGGCATACCTTTACATTTTTTTGAAAACATTGAAGAACTATGAGCAGGAGTCTGACTGTTATCCTGTAAGTGATATTCCGGGAAATGAAATTAGATTTTGTTGCAGACCAGTAAAGCTTCCTTGAATAGCCACCAGGATTTTTCACCCTGGCAGTATTTCTGAACTGGGTGTAAAAATTTGCCAGAAAATGGGAAAAAGAGTCCCCAAAAGTGTACACTTATTCTTCAGAGTGTGCATGTACATGGGTTTGGACTAAAGATTAAATGAAGGGGTTTTCAGAGGGCATAAAATAAAAAAGGGACATTTGAGAACTGTAGCCTTGGGCCACAAGTCGAAACAGATTTTGATCATTCATTGTAGACTCTCTCAGGAATTATCTTCCTTGCATACAACCACTGGCCTCAGTTGGACTCTGAGCACTGCACATTTGTTATTTTACAATCAAGCAAGGCATGGCTTGTTATTTTCATAAACCCAGGCCAGCTGATAGTGAGCAAATAACTGAAACTGCTTTTTCTCCCCAGCGATTACAACTTTCCCAGAATTCCAAGATTGAAAAATACTAAAATTATCCTGTGGGATTCAGTCAATTGTAGAAAATATACATTGTAAGCTTAGGAGACCAAAGTGGAATAAATTTGAAAATGCACAGTACGTATTCACACACATGCTCGAACATACCGGTACACACATGTACATGTACATGTACATGTACATGAATGTACAGATATACATAAATTCAGTGTACATGTACCTAGATGTACATGTACATGTGCACGTACCCTTTGACATACTTGTGCAAGGACTTTTGTTTAACATGGAAATGACTGGCAACACAAACTTGCACAAGATCAACAAGATCTTGAATGTGAAGTGAGAAACACTTGTGTAATGGCGATGTTGTTGGTTTTGTGTTGCAAGAGTTCAACTGTACCAGTGTACCTTACCAAAGAACTCTGAAATTTTCTTTAAAATACATGTACATGTAAATACATTTATGCTCGTGAAATTTTTCAGTACCTGAGCAGTGATGTTTGCAGTTTGAAGTCAGTCCAAGGACATTTGGATGAGAATTTGTACAGTGATTCTATTTGTGTTGATGATGCGAAGATGCAGGATTTCCAAAGCTGATCTTTTCACTGAAATTCTCCAACCAAGTCTTTTATTCTTGTCATTAAATTGTGTACAATATGTATTCTTGTGCATATAACTACCTTACATGTACCGGTAATTTCCTTTTTTCAAGGCTCAATTTCTTAAGAGCACCTGTTCAAGTGACAATGATGTACATGAACACCCATACACATACATGTACAGTATACATGTATGTGCTTATAAACATGCGCACTAAACATGTACCGGCCGACGTCACATACATGTAAAACACATTTCTCCTCAGCCTGTAAGTTCAAGCTCTCCATTTCTGAGTCATCTGTTGTTTTGTCTTTTCTTTGTTTGAAATTAGTCTTGTTCTGTTCTTCCTCTCCCTGTCGTCAACAATATTTTACCCGAACCCATATTCCAAGACAGAGCTGCACATTTTCAAGAGCCAAAGAATTTGTGTGGATTACTTGGTCCATCACAATCCATGACCGATTACCCACTGTCACTGACTTTTGGCTGTGAGAACTTGTAGGGTTAGTGTGACAAGGGTTTACCATCATGCCCGCATCATTCCAGTACATGTGCACATACAAATCTTGCTGCACATTGTAGCCAAAATACATGCGAAAATTAATCAAAATACACTTGTGGTGTTTTATTGGTGGTTGTTTGGTCATGATCATTCTGTGCCATATGACATGTATGACTCTTGATTTTTGCATATTGATAATGGTGGTTATTTCTTGACAGTGACTTTGTGTAATATCTGTGACCGAATCCCACAAAATGAGTCTCTTGTTTTGAAGATGTAGTATTAATTTGCAGAAAGGGCAAATTGAGCTCTTCTGTTAAATGTACCGGTATCATTCAGTTTTGCATCCTGATGAAAATGAATATCATGGGAATGGAAAACGTCGAAGGATCCCTGTCAGTTGAAACGGTTCATCATGCAAAATTCTTTGAGTGACACTTGCAACATGCGACTCATTTTGTTAGATTGGGCCAAATCTTCTGCATGAGGTGCAGTGTATACATGGTATGCCATTATTTTTTAGTTTGGACGAGACCCCTTTCTTGCAGTGGCCATTTTGTTTAATTCCTCACTTCATGAAAGATCCACATTGTACACAATGAACGTATAAGGCTCAGTCCAAATCACCAGGCTACCGGAATGGCTGCAAACAACAGGCACACCTTCCATACATGGAAGTATTCTGCAACTGGCTGCATGCTTTTCCCATAAATGCATGTGTTTACTTCAAGCTGTAGCCACGTCATTTAGATACATGTACATGTAGCCTTTTGACCAAAAAGTCTGTTTTAAATGTACAGCATACATTTACTTGGAATGAAAGTGCCACTCAGAGCCATGATGATTAGAGTGCTCCTGAAGAGAATATGAAGCAGTCTGGAAATTTTAATATACAGAATTGCTTCTGAAGTATTCCGTAGTGCCTCCAAGTAATATGAAGTTCATGTATACCGCGGTTCATTTTCATGTATTTGGAAATACAATGTATTTGTACCTCGTGTTCTAAGAATTCTCAAAGTATCAGTAAGAATGGCAAGCATTTGAAGATTAGAACAGCCACTATAAAGGGTTCAATCTTCTTGAATGTGAGCAGCTCTTTTGGAATCAAAAAGCGTGCACTTACATGTACCAGTGCCTGCTAAAGTGACTCTGAGAAAATTGTCATGAAACTTATCATTGCAGACTCACTACAAGGTGGCCACTGCCCTTGTCTCCATTTGCTATGTGCATGCTTTTTTGTTTCTATTTGATTTTGCTTCTCTCCCACGAGCCTAGGTGGCATGCCCGCTAAGATCCCACCCAGGGACACCCATGTAACTCCACCCCCTGCATGCAAACGTACCCAGGAAGAGCCAGCGACTCGTAATACGGCAATGATGATGCGGACACGTTTCAGGCGATGTACTCTTTCCCCTTTGCTTTTTCTTTCAACCCCTCAGCCCTAAAAGTTCCTGTATCCTCCAAAATCTATCACATGATTTTTGACTGATTTTGATAGATTCATAAAGCTGCTACTTTGAAAAAGTGCTTAGCAGATTTCAATGCTACTGTACATGTAGGCAAGAATGAGCATGGAATTTGCCTCAAATGATGTATTTTACATGGCTCTTTTGTTGGTAACTTATTTTCGCTAAGCATGCCCTTGCATGTACGGTACCGGTATCTTCCATGCTTCGCAAATTTCCGTGCTTTGCAACTCAGTGAAGTTTGCCCTGTATCTGGACGGCTCAGCCACCGTTTTTACAGAGGTCCAAGAAAAGCGTCCTTACATGTACACTGTACTAGTAGATCACAGTGCAGTGTAAGATTTTGAAGGATTCAGGAAGGTTCTGAGGGAAATGCCAAAACACCCCTTGAATGATGGAAAAGCTGGGTGAAACATATTTTGTAATTGTTATGTTGTTGAAAGCCCTGCTTCAGGCTAATGAAATCAGTCAGATGGCTTGTAGAGGCCAGTAGCCAGTATGATCAAGTGCTCACTGTTAGGCAGTCACTGTCGGGCAAGTACAAGTGACTGTAGTTAACTACCAGAAGACAACTGTACATGTACGGTAGTTGGACCTACATGTACACCACTCAAATGATGGATGCTTTTGACCATCATTATGTAGTCAGCCATTTTTGGAACCGGGCCCTTGGACATGGTTGCACCACTGGTTATCAGTGGCCAATATAATTTGTCAGTATGGAAGGAATCTTTCACATGAAAATACATGTAACTATACGAGATGACATTGACCATGTAAAATGTGAGCTGCCAGAGTGGCAACCAAGAGCCAAAATGTGATTAACAATGAGGATTTTGTAAGTTACGTAGTTCATTGTAGGGCCATTCGAGTGTGGCTGTATTGCGCATATTTGTTCAAAAGCGCCAAACTACAGTTCATGCCCAAACTTGCCAATCTTGTGGCCAAGATGGCTTTTAAAGTACCTTGCTATGAAATGGATATTAATCTATACATTCTATGACAAATCTTTTTAGCACCTGTTCATTTCATCCTGAACCTCACATCATGCATGGGAATGTTTTGGCAAAATTATTTATAAGACATTTATAAGATTCTTCATTATGGAAAAAATTGTCTTACTTGTATGCTCGAGTAAATCAATTTTGTAAATTTGGAAAACGGCCAAAATTGATTCAACTAAAATCAGGAGGTTTCACACAGATACAGTGCATTAACCTTGACCCCATTTTGGTTAATTTATGGAAGCCTCCCACATTTGGTTGTCGAGCAGGAAACTAGAGTTTCCTGGATTATTTCTGCGCTCAGTACTCTTTCAGTTTATCTGCAGTCAGGTAAGATATAAAGGAGCCTGTATAACAGATTTCAAGTGGGTTTTTTCTGTTGACAATACTACTACAGTCAAACTTGTAGTTCCAACTGTCCACTAAAGGGTTTAATTGAAACAAGCAGTTGAAAACAGGTGTACTACACAATTGTCTCGTGCATGGCTGTGGGATCATGTGGCCTCTAACAATTGGTCAGCCATTATTGGGAAGGGGGCCACTGAGCGCAAGCCAGGCACCTAGTGGCAGCCAAAATGGCAGGTTTGACTGTGGACATCAGTGTCCTGTTGCATGAATGTACATGTATATGAAATTATTTATTTTGTGCATGGATGTGTGAATCTATTGCATGAATGTTAGCTACATGTACATAAAACTCTATGTAAAATAAAGGTGTAAAATCAGTGGATTTTTTTCCATTCAAATTTCCATGCGTTTAAGATCATTATGTATTTTTTTTTCATTTTTGAAACAAGGAAAAAACCGTCTCTGGCATAACAAAAAACAACAGCATTCTGTGGCCTACACATACATTTGTTTTCCCCCAAAAATCCAATACATGTTAAAAGTCAAATTAAGGCTTCCATATTTACACTCGGCATTTCCCCTGAATCCTTGAATCCTTGTTTTCCGTTTCATCATTTATATTCTGGGTCCCTAGATTACAGCAGTTTCATAACCCATGAATAATGAGTGAGGCAGGTTTGCAGGGACCAACTTCAGTACCCGGCATCAAAATTCATTCATGTACACGTAGTTCCTTTCAGTGTTGAATGTTAACCATGTTGAGCTTGCAGAGATTTACCAGTAAGTGGTACAGAAATTTGCGTCTACTTTTTATGACTATAGGTCAATACAATTTTTTCAGGTTCAAAGAGTTTACATTTTTTTCTGTTCTTAGGAAAGCCAAGCTTTTTACCCCCTTAAAAACACAAATCAGCTTTTACTTGCTTGGTACCCAATGTTATGCTTCAATTATGCCTACTGAATAAGAACAAAATTTAAGAGACTTTCTCTTTAATCCATTCTTCTGTATAGATCAGAGCATATCATCCATTGATAGTCCTACAGAGGTCAAAGGAAAGGAAGACGGATCTGAAGGTATGAATATCTGTGCTTTTACAGTATTTACATATTTATCAGTGAAGACTGTCAATAAACATATACTACTCCATTTACAGGTACATTATGAAATACCAGTAAATGAATGAATTCAATCTAATGTACAGTACCTGTACATGAACTTATTTAAGTACCATCATAAATATATATTAATTCTGTCCTTTTTTAGTCTTACTCCAGTATGTGGGTTTATTACTGAACTAACTAAGATGATTAGTCATATTTACAGCACTTAATTAGTAGAAAGCCACAATAAGGGTCTCACCTCATTAAATTTACAACCAGCCTTTTTGGAATAATGACCAAGGTATATTTACCAACACAGGTGGAATAAAATATGGGGAGTGTAATTAACTCTAGTGCATGCAGTATTTGTCATTTAGCCACGCTGGTTGTGTTTTCCCCATTGTCGTGTGCGTGCAGCTTCACTTCTGTACCTCAGTGTGCAACACAAATAGGTAATTTCCAGTGCTGCACAAGCATAGCGTGCAGCAGTTTATGAAATAAAAACAAAAAGTTTGCCTTCAGTTGTACAACTGTTCAACATCCTGGGCAATTTTTCTTTCTTCTTGAAATAAGTTTTGCCATTCATATGGGTTGCATGTTTACACATGTATATTACATTTTAAGATACTTTCAATAAACACTTTTTGGAGTTAAGTCTGTGCCATCAGTGGTTTAATTTCACAGTGATACTTGTGATTTTTTTGGCCAACCTACTTGTGCAAAACTGTCAAATAATTCACTTTTAAATTTAGAAATAATTTTCCCCCCAATGTCAGTTGTGTCTTCAGGCAGAATTTTTTTGCCTGAGAATTTTTGTTTGACATCATAATTCTTGGCTACTTTTGAAAAGAAAGAGTCATTTATGTTTGATTAAGTGAAAAGAGATGTCTTACCAAAAATTGAATTAGATCTTTTGCGGCTGAAATTCTTATTTCTTGGCTTCCTCTTGATGGCATTTAGTCTGTGTTAGCGTCATCAAAACGTCACCAGAGCCCAAAGTCTTGATGGAGAGATGGATTCCATTACCAGGAAAATTCGGATTTCATTTCCAAAATTGTTAGTGGACTTCATGTGGAGGTCTGTCGCTGGCACTTCCCGGGGTGCCCTCTGTGTCAATGCTTTGACAAGCTGAATGGTGTCAATTGCCATAAAATATACGCTGTTTCACAAGTATCAGGTGTACACTCAGAGTCCTTTTTTTTCCCATTTTCTTTTAAACTCTGTTTGTATCACGTGGATGAGACTTGAGTTTAAGTTTAAAGTTTTTTCTCTGTCGTGGTGCTTAAGTTTCAGCTTTCACATACTCGGTTCCTATATTATCACGGTAACTCTGTTATCCTGATATCTTAAATTTTGAATTTTGTGTTGCCAGTGAGTTCCCAATTGGCAATATTTACCGAGGTAATCAATAAATTATGGCCTGAGGATTAGTTTTGTTAAAACTGAGTGAAAAATTCTGCAGGTTTCTGTAAGATTTAATAATATTTAATAAAAGATGTAACATTTCCTAAATTTGTAAATTTTCCTTCACCGAGTCCACCCAAGAAAATGAAATGTGGTACACCCAAATATTTTTTATTCCATTGGCAAACACCAATTTAAGTAATAAGATGAATGTCGAAGTTGGTGATGCATTTTTTGGGGTGAAAAAGTTCTGGTGAAAACAACTGAAAAAAAAAGTTATTCCATGCCAGATTAATAAGTGCAAGGTGACGCACTGCAGTTATTCCCATCTCGATCTTTTGGGAATGGCATCTTTAAGGAAAAGACTGGGAAAAATGGAGAAAATTAAAGGTAAAATGGAACTTTACCACAAATTGAAGTTATTTTGTTTTCCCTGAAAACTAAATCATTCTGTTTATCCTTATTTGTCCATAAACAAAGTGCTGTAAAGGCCATTGTAGAAACCATTTCTTAATACCGTGATAATGGAGACTCCACCTCCACTTGCGTATGGTGGACACACTGATTTTCTGAGCAATCGTAGAGGAAAATAAATTGAACAACTAACGAAATCTCGTGAATCAAGTAAGAGCTAAATAACAGCGAAGACAGGGTCATTCAGGAAGGTGAGGGAGCAATCTTTATTTCGATTGGAAAATTTGATAACTGCCACGATAATACAGTAGCCCATCGTACATGTACATGTACATCAATCAAATGATAAAATGAAGCAATCATTGTTAAGCTGCAGGTGTCCCGAATACCAATTGCACGTACATGTAGCTCCCGCTGAATGAAGCTGCTAAGCAAAAGTCTAACATACATGTACTTGACAGTTACCAACCAAAGGCATGCTGGGTAATCTGCCTTGAGTTGAAGTGCACCCTCAAGCGGCAAAAGAAAGATAGATGGCAGTAAGTTTTCCAAGCGGGTTCTTGTACGCGTTCTGCATCTACGCAAAGACCATACATAAAGGAATGACTTCGTTACACGTACTCAGTGTGCTCGGCGTCCAATGCACCATTATCTCCATTATAAATGTGCGCCTATGCAGTGAGAACCAAAAAACGCGCCCTCTTTTGTTCCACTTGGAGTGAATTGCTCAGTTGGTAAAGCCCTGATGTAGTATTCCAGAGGTTAATACATGCAGTTTGAATCCAGTTTTTGAATCCAACTTTCCGTTTTCGTTTCCTTTCCCTGTAGCTTGCATTTTGATAAATGGACAGATTTTGCATGGTATTACTTTCTTGCTTGGAGAGTTCAACTACATAAACCAGTCGTTAGCTTTCAACATCATTATATTTAGCTTACATTGTACAATATGGCCTCTGTGGGAATGGTGCAAGTATACATTACTAAACACTTTTTTCAAGGAAAGCATTTCTTTATACAACTGCAAAATTCCATGAATTTGCTTTTCTCATTTGTTAAAAGTTTCCCGATGGAATTTTAATTTCATCAGGATAATGTAATTTCATAAGTTTCTAGGGACTGATCGGGGGGAAAACCCCTGCAAGTACATGTACATTGTTTATGCACGTGTATCGCCAGAAAAATAGGCACAGGGGATGAAAATTCATGACCAGGGTGTTGAATAACCCATTTAGCAAGAACAGGGATGAGAAATCAGATCTGCTTGCACAGTCAGCTCAGAAATCTGGATAATTCAAGAAAAGCAGAACCTGGACAGGAAGGACAGCTTTGCTTAAACGCTTAGAAAGGTTCCTCAAATTATTTATCATATTCATGGTTTGCTGGGAAAAGCAGGGTCACGAGATGTTGCAACCATCACATTTGCGTCATTTCTTTATAAACAAAGATTGCATAATTTGTCTTAAGTAAAATTTGAAACTTTGCATGCTGGAATTTACATGAGATATATAGGCTTGTGGGCATACCATGGAATCAATCTCTTTCAGAAGAGGTGTGGTTCTCGGAAGAACAGGTGAGTGTTAACTCGATGTTTTGGCCAGGATACTCTTTTACTCGGTTTTTACTCGGTTACTCGGTTTTACATACATGTACAGTGTACATGTAAGAGCAATACTTGCTCATGTCTTCATTATACCGCCAAAAACTGGTCTCGAGACTCTCAAGACCAAGACTGGTCTCGAAACCTACAACACTGGATTTTACGCAAAGGAACAGAGTGAAATAAGTTTTACTGAAATTGTCTTCACCAACAAAGTGTTACATGAAAGTTGAACAAATTCAACTAAATTAACTGGTAGGGAGTACCATCTTTTGTCTTGACATTTCGCAAGATACACGTATGTTCCAGTAAACTGTCAAGTTCTGTCTGGGGTAACATCTATAATACCTGGGGTCCCCCCCCCATCATGCCTGTTGGTGTGCAGAATTCCCAACTGTGATGACTATATCTGCATATGCTCAAAATGTTCCATGTTTTCTTTGTGATGTGATGTGCCGTCCTGTACAAATATCACATTTTTGATTTCATCTTCAGAATGAGAGAAAATCTATCCTTTAAGTGCAACCTGCTGTCATCTGCCGGCATTGTATTGCATAAAAATTACAGCAAAGATGGCCCAGGCAACAAAAAAAAACCAACGATGCAAACAAAATGGTGGTCGTACCAACAGCAGAAATGGTTTCTTTACTGTCGCCCCACTGTACATCTCATACATGAATTAGCATCGTACCAGAGCTGCTAACAACATCATGCTCAAGGTTACACGGTTACAGCGCACTAGAAACGACTCATCGACTGTAGGAAAATCAAGGTTATCCATCATTTTTGTAGCACAGCAACGTTGCCGATGCACCCAATCATAAAAGATGCATGGGTACATGTACATGTACTCGTAGCATATCATGTGAGTAACTGACGACCAATGAAAACTCACCGTATAACAAAGTGTTTTGTACATCTGAGGAGGTAAACCCTTCACCGTGGGTGCCATTTATCCCCTCAAGTGCACAAAACACCATGGACCCCTAACACAGCAGGCAATAATTGTATAATGTGTGGAATGTCGCTGTGCAGTGCAGTATGTACATTTACATTGTACATGTGCATACATGTACATATACATGTACATATACATGTACATGATCCAGTGATGAACACTTGAAACTGTGCATGAAATGTACTGTGCCTGTACCTGTACATGCAAGTCTGCTGATTATTACTATACCTCACACATGGTCATGATCAGAACTCAATTCTCACTGAACCATTCTTCATCTCACACCATCCGCTGTTTTTGATATTTATCAATCACACCCATCGGCTTTCGCGCACATAGTAAAACACACTCACAGATGAATTGAAGCTTGGTTTTTCATATAGTTGTTTGTAACGCAGACGTCATTCCGCCCAAATATTGAATCAAAATGGCATCCGAAACTCTGTGATTGTTTGCGGAAAATACCCTTTCAGTTTGACAGTGCCACTTCATGATGCCAAACCTGTACTTCAGTTTCATGCATTTCATTGATGGTCAGCTATTCACTTGATCGTGAGGGTGATATATTAAGCATTAAGGAGCAAATGGGCAAATTTTGTGGAACTAAGCAAGAGGGACATTGTTGCGCACTAGTCATGCCAGCATATTTGTATGGGGATAACAGGGCTACTCAATGCAGACAGTCGGCAAAGTTGAACCTGGCTCAACTTAGCCGATCGTTTGCTGGCTGCAATTTGCATCTTGGTTGCATTACTGTCTGCGTTTCTTGATGGAAACCAGGCTTAACACCGGATTATCTGTGTGCCAACTCGTCAATATGCATGCCCTTTTTGAAGCAGTCAAGGAACTGTTGTACAGACCTGGTATGAACGCATACATCACCCTAGCTGTATGTACATGAAAAGATTGTGGCACACGTACCATAACTGTCATTCAGCGTTTTGAATACGTAAGAGGTGTATTAAAACAATGTGTTTTATTTCGGTTTAACAATCTATAACTGGTACCAGTAGCTTCCTGAGGTTAAAGGTTGTGCGTGACGGCCAGTTTTGCGGTTAGAGCTTTTATATTTGTTTCCCACAGATACACATGAGTACGGTAGATCCCTCGGTAACAAAATCAGTTACCGGAAAGATGGCTGCCGGGCACAATCTCTATTGGAAGTTGACAGCTTACAGTGTATTTCCCTCTTTTTTCCCCAAAAAGTGATTTCATTCCCTCGTTGACATGAGACACTTCATATTTTCACGTGAAGGGTAGGAGTTTTCAAATTCTTTTGGTCATGGAGGTTAACAATGTACTTGTGTAAAATAAAGAATCTGCACTACCGTACTGTATACGGTATATCATCAGTATATTTTATTGTTATTGAAATGTAGATACATGTAAGTGTAGATTTTCAAGCTTTGAAAAATGTGTTTCCCACGTCTTCATTTAATCACATTTCCGTAGAAATTACAGGCTCTCTGAGGAGTATGATACGTATCCCTACCTGTACTTACATGTACATGTACATACAGTGTATACATGTACATACGTTGTTATTGTGTTTGGTTATTTTTCTTCAGGGCATAGCTTTGTTGCAGATTTCAATTTTTCCCCTTTGTTTTCTTAGTCAACTGTGTTGCTTGCTGTTATTGAATTATGGGCTTGGTTTATTGTGCTTTTGAGGATGTCATGTTTCATGAAAAACTAATAGTCACATTTTAACCTGCAGCAGGTGTGTGGTGTGAAACCTCATCAATGAATATTTCAACCCTCGCAAGACACAGAAACATTCCATGTCATTTCAATCCACCACTCCCCACGTTGGTTTCCCCCAAAAAAATCTCATTGGATCGAGTCTGTCCTACACCTCAAGGCAAGTTTGGATTGCAACCCAGTGCACAATCAAATGTGCTTCTCTGATAACACATCAACATAATATCTGAAGTAACTTGGGCAATGGCTTGTGAAAACGTCATTATTCTCAAATGGCAAACCCTACCATGCACAAGAGGATATTCATTTCAGTAGCTCGTGTTCTTTGTCACATCAGTGCGTAAACAGTAGCAGTTTTCATTGTCATTGTCAAAAGCCTTTTTTTTCTATCATCGGAGGTCGCACATGGTTTTCATTTCTTTTATTTGAGGAAAACTCAGTCCACTGGTTTGATTACTGACACTGAATCTTTCATTAGAAGTGGTGATTGTGTATCATCATTGAGAGATGTACAAGTATTCTGTTGCAGTAACAAGAAAACGGGCTTGTGCATCTGAGAAAATTGATGAGTTATCACAGTGATACAGTAACCCCGGGCTACATTACTAAGGTGTTTGATCATGTCTCTTTTTACATGTATCACATTAACAATTGTGGCAGGTCTCTTTTTAAACCAAAGACTTGAGGAAATTCGTTATTCTGGCTGTGTCAGGTTCCGGATACATGTAGACAGCTCTTGATGTATGGATAAACAACACATGCATATGTTTCTTTTTGAGATGCGTGTAATTATGTTCATGTAGTTTAAAGGCTCCCTGCATATGTACATTGTAGTACGTTGCATGTGCCACATACATGTAGAACAGATGTAGAATCTTTATGTAATTTGAATTTGTTTTCAATCAGGTTGGCCTCAGTTGTCTCCTGTGACTATTGCCTACCGGTTTCTTCTAACGACCCCACACCATTCCGTGAATTTCACAATGGCCTGAGAATGATCTGATTTACTAATCCCCACTGCTTTCACAAGTCAGCCTGTGTCATCCAGAATTAAACATAGATGTCTGTTGTCAGTTCCAAGCACGTCTGCTTGGCCTCTAATTGGCCAGCAGTCCCTTCATCAGCATTGAGTGAAAAATGTCAGGCAAAGGTCAGCTGGAGGACAGGCAAATGTCACCCCTGCAAGGCATCAGTGAAAAGAAAAGAAGGGCAGGTGGAAGACCTGGGAGCTCTAGCTTACCATGGAATTCTACGTTTAGCAGTACCAATCCATGCTTAGTCTTGGAGCTGTAGCACAGATACATTTATTTTAATCTGTAAACCCTGTGTAAGCACATACATTCAGACTTGACGTGTACTTCTCGTAGGGACTTCTGTGATGGCCAGCACTTCATCTTTCCTATCCCACAATAGAGACGGGTAGGCCCACTATGTTACATAAGTATGAGAGCATGCACTCCACATATCACAGACACGACAAGGACTTCTGCCTTCATAAATTATCCCATTCATATTCCATTGACGTCAGGTACACCCTTGAAAACAAACTCATGCGTCGAAAAATTATTTCACCCACATCCTATAATGCTGCCATGTACCAGCATAATTTATTATCACTTAGAAAAAAAAATATTGCATATGGTATCTACCACTAGATATCTTTACCTTTGGCTTGTACACGAGGACCATTGTCGGTCCATTGAGCGCAGTTGGAGGTTATGGTTACACGCACATGTACTTTGGAAGGGTCGTCGAAATGAAATTTGAAGTCGTGCCCCAAGACCACGCCACCTGTCAAACCGTTTAGGCCAATCAAGCACTCAGGATGCTGTTGTTGTACATATACTTGTACGTCTTGCAGATGAGCCATGTCTGATGACCATGGCTCAGCATTTCAAGCTGCTGTTGTGACTGAAGATGCATGTGGTCCCAAGCATACTTATTTGTACATGTAGATTATTAACCCCTTTCTTACGCGTACACTGGTGTACGCCGTATGGTACATGTTTATGGCAAAGTAAGTGATTTGTCAGAAATGTTTACAGAGCAATTTAGATAGAACATTCAAAAATTTAACTTTCTACATTTGCACATTTGTGTGCAATGTAGATGACATAATTTTTCTTTCCCAAAGATGAAATCATATTTCTCGGTCACCATAGAGGGCCTCCCTTAACCCATGCTCTGAAGTGTATCATTTGGTTGCAGGCAAATGCTGAGGTGGAATTGTATGCCTGTAAATCATGAATATTGATAAAAGATAATATATCCATGATGGGAAGGCATTTAGTCCCAACTTGTATGCGATAGGTGGTAAATCATCTCCAATAGAAATCATGGCATGCATGTACATGTACAGGTACATATTTGTGTTGAAGCAGTTTGTGCATATTTAATATGTGATAGTTTCACGCTCCTCAAGACTAGATGGTTTGCAGTTGGGAATATACATGCGTATGTTGTGTACATGTACAAGTCCCATGGGAGCCGGTAATAAAGTTAGAAGTTTTGCACAGGCATTCAGAGAATTATCATGCAGCCAAAATTAGGGGTGTTTATACACTTGGGTATTTTGGTGTTTTTGTTAGTCACTTTCTCGTTAGACTGATTTGGTAACCCCATTTCGCTGACTTCTCAAAAAATCAGGTCCTTGGTTTCATTTCCATTCCCAGATGGCCAGCTGCTGAGGATATACGACGGCATGACCTCAGTCAGGCGGAAATCCTCGCACACGGTCTCAGTCGCAAAGGATGCAAGTGCTGTTCAAGTCGTGGTGGGTATCCACAGGAGGAGGGGGCAGGGCCAAAAATAACACAGGGGACTATGCAGGGCTGTTTGAATAAAGTCAGTGAAGCATACAGTCAGACTTAGACAAGTAATTGAAATAGACTTCCGGCCATGTCATTTTTATAGAAACCCAGAAATGTAGTGTTGGGGAAAACATTCATGGACATGCAATGGATACTTTATTTTGAAGTCAGTGTTAACCAGTATTTTTTCATTTTGTTTATACAGGAAGCAGCAATGCGAGCCCTGCACATATCTGATAACCCCAACCTCTACTACCTGGCTGAAACATCCGAAAATGGTTCGTTAAATCCCCTTAATATCAAAATTAAAGATCAAATTAAATCCCCATCAACTTGTGGCTGTAAATTTTGCTCAGATTTGCACTTCCAACTTCTCTGAGGATCTTTGGTTGTTCAGTCATGGCTGGGACTGGTCAAAATGTCGTGGGGCTTCCTGTGTGGTTCAGTCTGTTTCTGTTAAAGAATGTTAGCAGTAGCATTATATTAATGCTGCTGGAGTGGAAAAATTGACAAGAAAAAGTGACCTACACTGTGTCCAGAAAGGCTGATCAATTGCTGTAGCTTAGGTTTTGCCTTGAACTTCCCCTGATGAATACCACAGCCATTTACAGTAATGTCCATTTCAGAGTCCATCTGTGAAATCCCCAAATCTGTGTATTGTTTGTGCTTATTACTATCCATTTTGACCTGTAAAGAATCTGAGGGGCAAGAGAGAAGGATAGGCGACACAGAACATGCAGGACAGCTCAGCAAGCAGTTAGGAGTCAAGATACCATCCTTGATCCTGCGATACCAGGTAAGACATTTCTACTGGAATAGTCCTATAGGTGCTGCAGAATCTGTAAATTGTACTGCATGACTTAAGAGAGAACAAATGCACGGCAGGATTTCAGTAGGATGTGCCAAAAATAATGCATATCTGAGTTTGTAGTGTTGATGCTGTGTATGAATTGTAGATGGTACTTAAGGTGTGCTTTTTGAGAGTGAGGGAGAATGTGCATGGCAAGTTTACAAGTGAATGAGCACAGAAACTTAGCATCTCCACTCTCTATCGCAGACTCCGTAGAGGAGCTGAAGCCAATGTTGTGTGGCCAGCTCAAAACTGAAGTGAGATGACCAGTTTTGACAGCATGCAAACAAAACTGGAAGATACCGTATCCGTAGCACAGAGTAGCAATTTCAGTCACATGTCCTTTAGCATTAGTAATGAATTTCACATGTTCATGGACACGTATCTCGTGCCTTGGTTGTAGTCATTTCCTATCAGTTTGAAGATTGTTATGCTTTTGATTCATCTCACAGGAAACTAAAGCAAAGAAGGGTCTCATCAAGGTGTACCCAGGATTAATGAAGTGAGTGTGAAATAAGAAGTACCCCATAATACCACCACCACCTGTACAAATTAAATGAGATGGTTTGCCAAGTAGCTTGGAAGGTTATTCTTTAAATGTTAAAGATCTCTCATTTTCCTTGTCCATAGAGTCCCCGTGGAGTATGTGACTGTCTCAATCACAAGCTACATATCAGTCAAAGAAATCATTGAGATGGCATTGCACAAGTTTGGCTTAGAGGTGAGTCTTTGTAAAGGTGTAAGATCACTTGCCAGTACGGGCGATTCACAATAGTGCGCCTCCAAGAGTTTGCGATACGTCACAATGGGCAAAATCTGTCAACCCTTTCCAAACGTGCATTGGGTCGACAGATTTCACATATTGTGATTAGCCAACGCATCGCAAACGCTTAGAGGTCCGCTATTATGAAACGCCCGTATTGCATTTTGTATTTTGAGTGAGATCAGAATTGTCTGATTCAAAATTGCAGGGGTGAAATTTGTCCTGATTTTTCCAGATCTGTTCTATATCGCATGGCTTTTCTGGAAACTCTTAGTATTACTGCCGGAATTTTGCATGGAAGTGAATGCGGGACTTGTGCAAGTTGAGGTTTAGACAGAGCACATGCTCTTGTGTTACTCCCGCTGGAATGCAATAGAATACGGTAACGATGGGGTTACCCGTATATGGTATTAAAGTGTAAGGACCCAGCACAGCTTCTAGCTGTGTACATGTGCCATGCACTAGTGTCTGCGTTCAGGAAAACTTCATAGGTACCGTTTTATGTTCGGTGTATGCAGTTCATCAGTTGTCGCTTTGATTGATCAAAATGTGCTTTCAAAGTCATCGATTGCGGGGAGAACTCTCAGTTTGGAAAGGCTTATCTCCACTATTGAGAGTGATATAATGTTGGTAATGTCCAGCAGTCTGGTCTTTTTTACAATGCCCAGTTCCCCTTGTCCAATTTCAGAGACCCCGGCCATGCGTATAAAGAATACATGTCCGGTACCAGAAACCCCGGCGGCAAATGGTTAAGGAGGCATTTTTTTTCTGGATTTTTCAGTTTCCTCAAATCTCACCTCTGAAACTGGAACCTGTAACCTTCAAGCACCATTGTACATGGAGCACCTCACTGCTTGTATAGTCTTTGTTCTACAGAACCATTGTAAAAGTTTCAAATTGTGAGAAGTTATGCATCTTTTGGCTCACCTTACAGGATGAAGACCCTGACATGTTCTCATTGGTGGAGTTAGTGATTGAGCATGATATCCACGAGAGGGAGATGGATCGCGATGAGTGTCCATGGCCACAGCTTATCAAAGCCAGACGAGTAAGGGAGCTTCTTATAATACAGAACGGTTGGAACATTCCATTTTGAACACTTTGTTCTCATTCCTGAAAGGGCGGCCATTTCATTTGAAACAGGGCATCCCTATTGGAACAGTCTACGTGTACATTTATGCACAAGGCAGAAACCATGACAATAATTCTATAAATATCGCATGGAATGATAGTGTTCCAGTGAGAACAGTCTAACGGAATACAAACTTTCACAACTTTTGAGACATTCCCTAGGTAGTCGGTGCCCTCGGACAGGTGTCTGGTTTTTGAGTTTGGTTTTTTATCTGGTTTGATACTTGAGGCTGGTACTTCAGTACTTGAGTTTGATACTTAACTCTAGCATGTTAGTCCGGTACTTGAGTGTCATACTTTAATCATGTACTTGAGGACTCGAGTTTGATATATTAGTTTGGTTTTTTGTCAGATACTTAAGTCTGGTACATTAGGCTTGTATTTGAATCTGATATTGTGTCTTTGTACTTCAGTGCTTGAGGCTGACAGTATTTAAGCCAGTACTTGAATACTTGAGTTTTATATTTGAGCATGGTACTTGAGTCAGGCACTTAAATTTGATACTTGAGTTTGGTTTATGAGTCTGGTACTTGAGTCTGATGCTTCATCCCAATTTTTGAGTCAGGCACTTGAATTTGATACTTAAATCTACATTTACGTATACATATAGTTGTTAGATTGGATACTTTAGTCCAGTGCTACAATCCAACTTGCTTGGAATTTTAGCATTGATTCTAATCCAACTTGAGATACAATGTGTCAAAGCAGTGGATTGGAAAAAGGCCACACTTTGAGCAAGATACCAAGATAAGTTTAACCTGCAATATGAACACTGTTGTCCTTGTTCCAATCCAACAGAACTCCCTGCTGCAGATGAGGCAGACCAGGTACCAGCTGAAGAGGACTGATGAGAAGAAGCCAATCAACGCTGCCCAGATGTTTGTGGGCAACCTACCCATCAACTTGTCTGAGTTCAAGTACAAGTACATCATCAAGCATCTCTTAGAAGAAGGTAAAGAGATAATGCTGCGAAGCTAATATTGCTTAATGTATTTATGCACTAAGCAGAAAGTAAGCTAAGAACTTGTTGCATAGCATTACTCACAACATTGCCCAATCACCCATCTTTACTCGATGAATTTCTCTCTCAGCTAAGCAGAGGATTGTTTTTCAGATGCTTCAGTAATTTTTGCTGTGATCCTGCGTACCTTTTTAAATTCAAACCCAACATTGTAGCACATGTACTGATTTGTATTTGTTGTCACAGCTGGATGTCCATTGTTCACCTCAGTAGGAAAAGTCTACGTACAATATGGTAAGTCTTCTCAAACAGAGAGGAAGATTCCTAGATGGTCCACTTTAACTTTCATCTCCCCATCCACAGACTCCACATCCCGTGATCATCTTTATCTCCCACTTCCTGTCTCCATTCCCTCCTTTTTATCACCTTTCAACTATGTACAAAGTATCAACTTGGACATTCATTACAAGTTCATTACAAGTCCCTTCAAGTCTATCATGAGCTATCCAGTCTTAAGCCATGTCATGATCACAAGCTGTTCCAATGGACTGCCACGGAAGTATTCCTTTCTGGTTGTTCACCTTGGTTCTTGTGACTGGTCTGATGACTTGTGAAAGGAGTTGTGACTGGTCTTGAGATGGAGCCCTCTACATCTTAGTATTTGTTGCTGTGCTGCACCCTCCAGAAACGCTATAGTGTTTGCCTGTTAATCAGTGTCCTTCAGAGAATGGAAGATGAAAGAAGCACAAATTGTAGTTTTAGACGAATCACATTTGCTGGTCTCTGAAGCTCGAAATCCTAAAATTTTTCAAAAACTTTCATCTCGTGTTATTTTGTATCTCTCTTCCAGGAGCAGCAATAGTAGCTTTCGAGGACCATGATGCAGCCATTACGGCATATCATGTCCTTAAAGATGCAACTTATGAAGAAAAACCAGTCACCCTCCTCTTCATTCCAGAAATCCACGTAAGGCTTGGATTCCAGATTTCTCTGTTACCCAGATGAATTCTTCTGAACATTCTCTGGGAGATTTTCCCTGCAATTAAGTTCTAACATTTTGCATTGATTTCTTGATGGTTTCAGATCGATTGCTTGAGACCTGAAGCCACACCACTTCTTCTCTTCATCAACGTCAAGAGTGGAGGATGCCAAGGCATTGAGGTCTTTGACATCCTCTCCAAGATGGTCAACCCCTATCAGGTCTTTAACCTATGCCAGGGCGGCCCACTGCCTGGGTAAGCAGTCTTGTCTTGCTGTAGAGCTGTGTGTTTGCATTGATCCTGAACGGATTTTATGTAATTTGGCTGTGTCCAAAATTGCAACTAGGACTAGAAATAATATTTGTTCTGATGGAAGCCATTGGCTAGTGGCTGCAGCCACTTGCATTAACATTTGCGTTACTTGCAGCCTGAGCCAGTTGATTGGAGGTGACCGCATTGAGGAGCATTGTGCTGGCAGTGACACGTGAGGGCCCTCTTGCATGTCGAAATGCCCGGTAAAGGCCTGTTGTAAGCCTGGCAAATCCACGTGTATTCTGCAGTATCCAAATGGCATGCCTGTGGCTGGAAATAATGCCAGAATCTGTGGAAGCTATCAGAAGCTTCACACGGGTAACGTCCAGCTACTGGTAAGCACCTTGGACACTGCTTTACTCATCCCTCTTCCAATGACTGAATTTTCCCCTGTCAGGTTGCACGCCTTCAGTCAGCTGCCAGAATACCGCATCTTGATCTGTGGCGGCGACGGCACAGTGGGCTGGGTGCTGCAGTGCTTGGATGACGTGGGGCAAGAATCAGTGTGCAGCAATCCAGCTATTGCCATCCTACCGCTAGGAACAGGTAAGTTCACCTTAGCCCTCACAACCATCACTCCTAGAAGTGTATAGAAAGTTGTTAATCAAGATCTGTGGATCGGGGACTGAAGGGTTTTAAGCAGAATGTGCAAGGTGAGTGGATTGCAACTCTTTACAGCAAGAGGAATAGCCAAATTGAATCTTTGCAGATATATGTACGTATGACCACATCAGGTGTACGGAATAGCCACACCAGGTGTTTATACAGTAGCTAACAGATGTAGATGCACAAAGTGTACTAGACTAAGTTGCTGAGGCGGTGTTTCCTAAAGCATGGCCCTGACCCTTCCCTGATCCTTGAAAATCTACTGGGAGGTGTGTAGGAGATGTTAGAGGATTGAGCTAGATGCCTCTGGAAGACTTCAGCACAAACAATGTGCCTTTGGATTTTCCTGCACTGGTGAGAATTGGGGAATATTCCTTGCCACAATACCAAGGGGAATCTGGGGTTGTTGATAGGAATACGCACACACAGGTGGAAAGGAACATGTTGAGTTACCTTGTAGATTTCCAATTCTTAGGGTTTAACCCAGTAGTACTTTATTCCAATGAATATTTGTCAAGGTAGAATTTAAGATGTACTTAAAGTTAGAGTAGGTTTGCAGGCTGATGCCTGTGTTAAAGTTTTCCACCCCATCAAGTTGTGTGTACAAGCAGGAATAGAACAAGTGATCAACGCGACCTCAACCGAAATTGAGTGGCATATTTCATATTTCTCCATGGCATAGCTGGAGTTAGTAAAGTTTTTCAAGAATTGGACACTGCACGAGTAAACAGGAAATCAGCTTGCCAGCCTTTGCCCTCTCCATAACCTCAGAGAGCTGTGCCACCATGCCCTGTCAATGGGGATGGAGCTCAATCTGGAAATGTCAGCTTGTCTAGACTGGTCATCCCTGAGGACCCACTCCAGTGCCTCTCATGCTGTTTCTCATAGGCATCCAGCGTCCTTGCCCAAAATATCACCACAAGCAATACACATTAGACAAGTGTGCAAAATATAATTTTAAAGTAGCTATTTTTTTCAAGTGTAGTGTAGTTTTAATTTCCAAGTATCCAGTTTGAAATGCTTAACCAAGAGACAGAATTTTTGAGCCAGAGAGGTGGGAAAAAAATTACCTGACTTGCTGTCAGGGACTTGCTAAGCTCTGCTGTCGCTGAAGAAACGTGCATTTTGAACCAGTTAACGTCATATTTTCTCACCCGAAAAAGCTGCTGGGGACGGGTTTTTTACCCAAAATTCTTCAACCTTGTAATTGCACTTTGACCCAACTAAGCATGATGCGTTAGTACGTCCAAATCAGAAATGAAAAAAGGGTTCTAAAACGAGTGTACCGGTACCTGTCCTCCATGGAACTAATAAGGAATGTTGTTTGTGTTTACTCGTCATCCACATCAAGTGGTTAATTTACTTACATTTTCGTAGGAATAACTCCCTCTATTGTATGTGCAAAAGTGTTCCTTTTGTGTACTTCACAGTGTAGAATATTTGACAGTTGCTTTTTGAAGTGCAAGGAGATTAAGTATGGTCCTGTTGTAGCTTCACCTTTTGACTTTTTGGTGACCCCAGGTAACGACCTCTCTCGGGTCCTGAAGTGGGGAGGCGGGTACCAGCAAGGAGATGAACTCTTCTCATTCCTGCAAGCTATTGTAGACTCAGAGGAGGTCAAGCTAGACAGGTCAGAGCTCAGAGGTCATTTCTAAAGACAAATCTTTTTTTAACCATATCAGTGCAAAATAGTAATCTTGGCAGTTGCAAGCTGCTAAGCAGCAAAGGTCAGTTACATTTTGTCACCATCCTCTTGAAGAGGTGAATTTCTCTCCTGAGTGTAAGGTTTCAAGAAAATCGCATTTGAAGTTCGTCTCTTTTTCAAATGCTTATTTCTCCAGTATTTAGCATGCCTTTGGCTTTCATAGCCAATGCTATTGCATGAAAGAGGGGATCCTAAATAACACAAAACCACAAAATAATGTCTAGAAAAGTTAATTAAGAGTGTTTCTTTTGTAAACAAACAGGTTTGTCTATTTCTGAAAATGCTAAAAATCGTGTGACTTTTGTCTTCGCGTGAAAGCGTTTTTGGTTTGCTATAGCACGTACCAGGTGCAAACTTGTTACATTTGTAGACGTTTCCGGAGTCAAATTTGCCTCTTCGTGAAAAAGGCAAAATGAGTTTGCCAATGGTTTTGCCCCTTATCCTTGGAAGATAAAGTCGCCTCATCATGAAAATGCAAAATCCGGTTTAGTTGAAATTTGCCATAGGTAGATCATTGTAATTGGGGTGATTTCAGTAGATTTGGTAAGGTAAAAATGATGACACCAAGCTGTGGCATCACATAGGCTACATGTAGATGGTTTTGCTCCCCCCCCCAAAAAAAAATAAATTTGAAAAAATCATGATTATGGCCAAAGTGTCTCTTCGTAAAAACGGTGATGATTTGTTTGACAAAAAATCAAACCATAATACATAAAGTACATGATAACATCAGTACAATATTCCAGGGTCTGAGGTTCAAATCTTGTTTAATTCATTTGTTTAATTCACACCGGCTCAACAGGTGGACGGTAATCTTTGAAACAGACCAATCCAAGTTGATAGAGTGCGACAACAAGTCCAATTCCTCCAACAGCAGCTCAGGCAATGAGGATATGCCAAACATGTTTGTCATGAACAACTACTTCAGCATCGGCATTGATGCAGACCTCTGTCTGGGATTCCATATGGCCAGGGAGGAGAAACCAGAAAAGTTCAACAGCAGGTGAGTCAGACCTGGCTGAAACTGGTTGGAACTAGTTGAATACTGTTTGAAAACCAGTTGCTTGTGGTCTGCAGTGGCAGTGTATGTTTGTTTTGGTGAAATTCTTTGCTTTCAGCGCTGATACATGTATGGTTGTTGGTTTGAGGACCTACATGATCTAGGGGCAAACCACCACCTGACATCTTTGTGAGACAAACCTGGTTGTGTCTAGTTTGAACCTGTTAGATCTGAATTGAGCCAATTAAGTGCTGTTTGAACTGGCCCCAAAGAATACTTCAGGTGTCTTCAATGATGCTGACTTTGCTTTATTACCATGTAAATCCAATAAGTTGTCATCCAAGCTAGCTACATGGCAAAGTGGGATCAAGGCAAATACCAGAAACGGTTCATCACAAATACTGGTTGTCTTTTGAATTCCAAGAGATGGACAGCAATTCAGACTGAGCACCCTTTCTCTTCAGACTGGAACTCGAACAAGTGGACATTTTCAGTTTCTTCCTGGTATTTGTGTGCCTGCAGGCTGCATAACAAGGGCGTTTACTTCCGTCTTGGGATGCGGAAGCTGGGCCGGAGGACCTCTTGCAAGGAGCTGCAGAAGGAGCTGCGAGTGGAGGTGGACGGGAAACCGATTGAGATCCCATCAATAGAGGGCATGCTCATCCTGAACATATCAAGGTGAGGACTGCTGGCCCAGAGAAAAGGATCTGGAAATGGGCAGGAACAGTCTTTGAGCAAACAGCAGTTAGGTTCCTGGATTTGTCATGTGGAATGAAGTGAGCTTGCCTAGATCAGGTTTGACCTGTGAAGAGCAGCATGTTGAAGGCAGAGACATGGTTTCCTTCCATACCACTGGCAACATGCCAGTTTTTATAGTTTTTACACTTAAATACAAATCTGACATCTGTCTGTAAGACATGACTCAAGGTGTTAACAGAAAATATGTTATATTCGTAAAGGGTTGATTAAATGTGTAAATTGAAATATGCGATGTCTTCAGCTTTTCTGTTGTACGCTGATTATAAACCATATGATAGGAAAGTTTCACATAATAATCTTCAGTGAGAGAATGTGACAATATTTTTGAAACGTGCAGTTGGGGAGGTGGAGCCGACCCTTGGGGCGTGGACAGTCAGGACACAACGTTCAAGAAGTGCCGCCATGACGATGGACTGCTGGAGCTTGTGGGCTTGACGGGGGTGGTCCATCTGGGCCAAATACAGAGCGGGCTGCGAACGGGGATTCGATTGGCACAGGGGGCCAATGTAAGTCCATGACTGCCTCCAAATGTTTGGCTTGAAAAATGATGTATG